GTGAGGTCAGGAGTTCGAGACTAGCCTGACCAACATGGTGAAACCGCATCTCTACTAAAAATACAAAAGATAGCCAACAAGTGGTAGCATGCACCTGTAATCCCAGCTACTCAGGAGGCTGAGGCAGGAGAATCACTTGAACCTGGGAGGCAGAGGTTGCAGTGAGCTGAGATCGTGCCACTGCACTCCAGCCTGGGCAACAGAGTGAGACTCTGTCTCAAGAAAAAAAAAGAAAAGAAAAGTAATTCATAAACCCACACCAAAAATAACCTCTGTTACTATTTTATTGTGTATATTTCCAGATTTTCTTCAGGTATGTATTTTGCATGTAATTGTTTATTGAACAAAAATTATAGTGTGTATTCTTTATTCTTGGATATCAAATTTTTCACTTTGCATAACATGGATATATTTCCAGAGCAATAGTTACTTTTCATTGTCATACTTTTTATGGTTACATAATAGTCTATTTCATATACATGCTGTAACTCATTTAACGAATTTCAAAAGGAATATTTTAGTTGTTTTCACTTTTTTTGCCCTGTGCTCTTATCATGTCTGCTGTACTTACTTTATCTCAACGTTGAAGGACAGTGTGCATTTGTTGACTTGCTACTGTACAATTCTTTTTAAGCTACGTCAAGATTATGTGTTTTACATCTTTGATTAAGGCAAAGCATCTTAAACGCTAGGCCATTTCTTCCTTACGTTTTTACAGGTCAGTAAAGAGAATTATTCACATAACAAGGCTGCCCAGGTGGGTTGGCACAATCTACTAGGATGACATCCCAATATACAGTGGTTTAGAGGCAACCTGCAGATTTTGCGCATGTTCAGAGAGTGGTGTTCTGTTAGCATGGGAAGCAAAAGGCTGGAGCAGAGCAGTGGGGTATCCATGAGATCAGGTGGTGTCTCAGGAAGGTTCTAGTACACTTAGCAAAAGGCTTTAGGAGAGCAACTAAAACTTTAAATTATAAATTTGCTAGAGATTTTCTCAGGTCAGGAAAGTAGTGGGAAGGAGAGGCTACAGGGGTAGAAAGAAGAACATGTGGGGAGTCTGCAAGAGCAAGAACAGGAGCTGTTGCGTACACGATGAGTCGGATCATGTTAGTGCTTCCACTGCCCCTGTTGGTTCTCTCTCTAGTCAGGGTTCTTCGCTAGGCTCGACTTCCTATCTTTTCTTTCAACTCTTTATTTTCCTTCCCAGTTATCTCCTACAATCAGAACATAAATGTGGTTACAAACAATTTGGCAATAGAGTTTCTGTCTCTTCTGCAGACCAACTAATCACTATATTCACCCCGATTGACCCAAATCTTTTTATTCCCCTAGGTCAGACTAGTTTTCTTGAAATACTGGTAACTGCTGAACTATCATCTCATGGCAAAAGATAAACCCTCTGTCCTATTGGTAAAAATGTAAATGAAGTCCAAGTAAATAGAAAAGCAATTTTATCAAGTTTCTTTTCGGAGATTCACATGTTCATTCGTTTTATGGAACGGCCAAACACAGAGTTATCTAATTTAAGTAAGTATAAGTGGATTTTTTTTGTTTGTTTTTGTTTTTTGAGACAGTCTATCTCTGTTGCCCAGGCTGGAGTGCAGTGGCACAATCTCGGCTCACTGCAACCTCTGCCTCCCAGGCTCAAGTGATTCTCCTGCCTCAGCCTCATGAGTAGCTGGGATTATGGGTGTGCCACCACACCTGGCTAACTTTTGTGTTTTTAGTAGAGGCGGGGTTTCACCATGCTGGTCAGTCTGGTCTCAAACTCCTGATTTCATGATTCACCCGCCTTGGCCTCCCAAAGTGCTGGGATTATACGCCTGAGCCACCACGCCCGCCCTGATTTAAGTGAGTATAAGTGTTCTATTCAACAATATGAGTTTAAAAATGGCTATGATGTCACCAATACATGTTGCTTATTTTGGCAAAATTTGTCTTGGAATAAAAATATTCTTAGGATAAAAATTTCTCATTTTTTCAATTGGAATATGATTAATGTTTTAACTTGTTGATGACACAGCAGTTTTATAATTCAGGCAATCAGAAATCTATTATTTAATTTCCGAAAGGACATGAAATTGTGATAGTATCTTGCAGGAGCATGTTTGCCTAGGTATCAGTCTCCTGAAGTATCTTTGTATCTGTCCTGGTGAGCTGAAGAAGACTGGCTATAATTTTCTTAGAATGTTGGTTCTATAATATTTATGTCAGGTGTTATAAAGAGTCTTCCTCCTTCCTTCTGACTTGAGTAGCCTAAAAAAAAAAAAAAAGTGTTATCTGTGCTATGTCTTGATCAAACTGAGAATTGTTTCAAAAAGTAGAATGATGTAATAACCATAGTTCTCTTTCTACTGTTATTGTTACTGAATTTGGAGATAATTCTAGATATTAGGGGTGAGTAAACAGGTAAAGCTAGTGTGGTGAGTAAACAGGTAAAGCTAGTGTGGTAGCCAGCTCCAAAGCCCATTTTTCGACTTCCTAATGGGATGGTACATGGCAGAGAAGGGGAACTGGCTCAGGGTCTCCCTGCTGTTCTCGTTCCTGTGTCATGAATAAAAATCACACATCTAGAACAATATGACTTCTTTTTGTGCCCATTTAAGTTTTATGATTTTACCAACAATTGTAAAACATGCTAAATAAAGGGTATTTTATAGTCAGTGGGGGGTAGAGAGAAAGTAGAATGGACCAATAATTCAGAAGTATCTAGGCACTAACTAAGCAAATGGCCAAACTTTTCAGAGAAAACATAGACCAGACAATACAGGGGATGCTGTCAGGGATCCAGGTCTGACATTTAGGAAAGCAAATACAAGGAAGCAAAAATATTAGAGACTGCATTTTGAACCAATGAGCTATGTTAATTACAGTTACTGGAACTGATATATATTTACTAAATACATGGAATTTCCCCTCCATTCAGATATTTAAAGTAGAATATTATGATCTGGCTAGGTGACTGAACTGGAAATTATCTAGGTCTCTTACAAACGTACAATTCTGATTCCACAGCTTCTTACATCACTGTGCTGGCTATTTTTTCTTAATTTGCAACATCCAATTAGCTTTCCAATTATAGATTTAGTAAAATGCTTCACTGATCTTCACTTTTGAACACCTAACACCACTTTAGTAGAGGCAGCCAAGAAATAAACAGGCATCTTGGTGATGAAGGTACTTTGCCTATGTCCATAACACTAATATTTCATTTTGCAAAAGATTTAGCACTTATTTTAAAGCATCCAGTTTACTATGTGTATGCCTTTTTTTTTTTTTTTAACCATCTAATACAATAGTCTTATCTAAAACTTGCAGGATACTTAGTAGTTGCGTTCTTAAAACACAAAGTATGGTTCTAAATGACCAATTTTGATTGCTATAAATCATCGAAGAAAAATAGTCCCATTACTCTATAGTCTTATCATACAGATGAATATTCCACAGTTTTACTGACATGCTTTTTTATAGTCACTAGAAAGTAGAGTCTGTCTGGTTCTAAAAAGAATTTGCAACAACTCACCTGATATGCAACAGAGCATTGGCAAATTCAGTCTTCTGATTAAAGCAGGGAAATAGCCAGTTTCCCTATAACTGTGTTACTTAAAATTTACATTTAGAGAAGTGTATGCACCATTATTATTTATTGACTATGTATTAAGCACTATGAAATTGATCTACATGTAGATGTAACTTTTAACCTCCCAACAATTCCAAAAGATATTATCTCAAAATAAAAGACTAAACTTAGTTAGCAGGCGTAATCAGTAAATGTAGGAGAATAACTTTAAAAGTGGGTGCGGTGATTCACACCTGAAATCCCAGCATTTTGAGAGGCCAAGGTGGGCCGATTGCTTGATTCCAGAAGTTTGAAACCAGCCTGGGCAACATGGCAAAACCCTGTCTCTGCAAAAAATACAAAAGTTAGCTGGCCATGGTGGCACACCTGTGGTCCCAGCTACTTGGAAGGCTGAGGCAGGAGAATTACCTGAGCCTGGGAGGCCAAGCAATATCTATATAGACAGGTATGCATATATACTATACTTAGTCTTAGAAGTCTAACCACTAATCATTTAAATACTAGTATTCATGTGCATGCTATATTTTCAGGCTTACTATCAAGCCAGGCATGGTTGGGGAGGAATTTGTCAAAAAATAAATACAAAAACCCCAAGATGAGCAGGGCAAACTGGTTCTCCAAATATAGCCTCTTAGGAGAGAAAGGAGGAGTGGAGTTTACCCAGCCAAGTTTCGTTTTGGAGAACTCCCAATGCACTGTAACCACCACAGCCACTTTGGCATTAATGTTGATGGGAGCCAGCAAAGGCGAGGGTGGAGCCCTTCTTCTGACAATGAAAACTCTTCACTGAGTTTGGAGAGAACAACATGAGCTCACCCCCTAAAAGATCTCAAAATTCAACAGAATTAGAAATCATGAGAAACATATTATTAACTCTGGTGCTTCATTTTAAACTGAAGTTACATACAACATGTCCTTTTATGAAGCTGAACTATATAACCTCTGTAATTAATGCATTATCTGAAGATAAAATCAGTTAACCTGGGGGAAAATGTGATTAATCCCCTGCAAAATAGTCTGGAAAAAAAACCCAAAACCTCATGGATCCCCGCTCTGAGAAGTAATGAGACCGAGACGAGACGTAATCTGACTAGCTCTACCGTGGACTGGGTGAGGCTCATTTACTCTTTTCTGCTTCAACTTTCTCCTCAGTGGAATGAGAGCATAGAACGGATTGACTTGTGGACCAAGCATGCTGGCTCATGCCTGTAATCCCAGCACTTTGGGAGGTCAAGGCAGGTGGATCACCTGAGTTCGGGAGTTTGAGACCAGCCTGGCCAATAGGGTGAAACCCCGTCTCTACTAAAAATATAAAAATTAGCCGTCGTGGTGGCACATATCTGTAATCCCAGCTACTCGGGAGGGTGAGGCAGGAGAATTGCTTGAACCCGGGAAGTGGAGGTTACAGTGTGTGGAGATCACGCCACTGCACTCCAGCCCAATGACAGTGCAAAGTTCCATCTCTGAAAAACAAAACAAGACAAAACCTGATCGGTTTGTAACTTTCTGCTCAACGCCAGTAGTGTATGATTCGAGTTAATTAGCTAACATGTTCATGTGGAATCTTCTTTTCAAACAAATTCAGGTTGCAGGCCATTATGATTTGTCTCCTCAGGAATGGCAGCCATTCCCTCCAGTAAGTTTTTAAGTAATGGTCAGTAAGATATTGAGAGACAAAGGGCAAGAGCCTCAGGCTGCTGTGTTGAGACCATTCTGTGGAAGGAAAGAACAGAGGAAGGAGGAGGCTCCTGAGATCATCCAGGCTTTGACCAGGGTGATTCTGTGGAGGGGTTGAGAAGTAACTGAATGCATTTTGAAGGTATGGCCAGTGGGATTTGCCTCTGGAGGGAATGCGGGTCATACAGAGGAGTCAAAAATGATTCTGCAGCTTTTGGTCTCAACAACTGGAAGGACAGGGTTGACATTTATATTGACAGGGAGTCCTGTGTGAGGAGCAGAGTTGGGGGAAGAAGAGTTTAGTTCTGCAAATGTTAATTTGAGATGCCTACTAAGCATTAGTTTGGCAATGTTGAGTAGGTAATTGGACATCTAAATCTAGTGTCTGGGAAGACCTTTGGGCTAGAGATATACATTTGGGAGTGATTATCTCTACGTGAATGGAATATGGAATAGTAAGACTGGAGAGCATCTTCTCGGGAGAGAAATAGCTAGAGGGGGTGTCCCAGAACCCAGTCCTGCATCCCTTCAATCTTCCGAGGTTGGGGAAAAGAGGAAGCAGCAGCAGATGAGTGTGAGAAGAGTGGCCAGTGAGAAAGAGAGGGAAAGGAAAGAAATGACTTCAAGAAGCAGGGAGTTCCTCAGCCAGGTCAAGTGCTGTTAACATGGCACAGGCTGGAAGAAACCTCACAAGCAAGTGAAGAGCCGGTTAAAATGGGAGGTGCCTTATCTACTTCATCTCATTCGCTGGGACAGCAAGCTCAGGAAAGAAAGACGACTTCTGAATTTGCTATATTCAGAATGTAGATAGGAGCATATCAATTTGGGTAAAAATATTATCACTTCCTTCTCAATTCAGTCTGCTAGGACACCATCTAGTAATTTCTTCCAAGAAAAAAATGCTTTTCTGTGTTTTCATACAGTCGATACTCCCACCCAAAGTGCCTAATTTCCAAGTGATAGAATGCATTGCAGAAGAATCTTTTCCAAAGTAAGTATCTAAGTCAAATATATATATATATATAAATATATAAAGAATATAAATAAATAAATATAGTATAAATATATATATATATATTTCTTGTTATTTAAAAGTATTTTGGGTTTTCTTGTAAATAGGATACACAAAATGAATGAATGCACTCTCATAGAATATCTGCTGATTAGGGGACACACTCTACGCCCCACTTCACAAGGCTCTTTGTCATGCGTTCATTGCCCTCTGAGCCTCCTCTTCAGCTAGCACACATTGATGCTGAGATCTGTAATTTAAAGCTCCTCTTATCTGCTACCCTCCTTTCATCTGTGACTACCCCAGAGAACATTCAGGGGTCTGTCAGGCGGCCCGTGAGATCACCTGTAGATTTCGCACTTCTCTAACTTTGGTCAGGAAACAGCGCTGCCAGCCACTTGGAAGCTGTTGTTATGGATGTGATCTCATTTGCCCAGTCGCTTTGTGGGGGGTCAAACAAAACTATTCCCACTTAGGTTAGTCCTTTCTTTATTTGATACCATTTGCCTATGGATTTCAGAATCTCATATATTACAGTGATATTTTTGCATATTCTCAGAGAGAGAATGCTCTTCTTGGTGGCATTAAGAAGAGGCCCTGTTAGGAGCCAACAGCCTTGGAGAAGAATGGGTCACTTAATAACTTCATCATTAAGCTGAGATGTTCTACTGGGTGGATTAGGCAGCTAGCTCGGCTAATACCTGATTTTTTATTTTTTATTTTTTTATTTTTAGACAGAGTCTTACTCTGTCACCCAGGCTGGAGTACATTGGTGCAATGTCGGCTCACTGCAACCTCCGCCTCCCAGATTCAAGCAATTCTCCTGCCACCTGAGTAGCTGGGATTACAGTCATGCACCACCACACCTGGCTGATTTTTATTTTTAGTAGAGACAAAGTTTCCCCATGTTGGCCAGGCTGGTCTTTAACTCCTGACCTCAGGTGATCTGCCCACCTCGGCTTCCCAAAGTGCTGGGATTACAGGCGTGAGCCACCGTGCCTGGCCAATTGGCTGATATTTCAAGTCACTGGATTCTTACAAGTTCTGGTTCTCATTTATGCAGATTGTATTTATATAGGCACAAGCCATGGAGTAGCCTAGCAGAAGATGCTTTCTGCTACATTAGGCTGTGTACTGTTTATGTGGTATTACTTAGAAATGTCTGCTTATCATAACACAATTTAGTGTTCCTTTCTGTTTCCACAGCCATCTTAACATGTAATTACAGTACATTGAAAGTTCCCCTTTTTCCTTAGAACAATTAAATATTAATTTATAGCAATAAAAACAAAATACATGTTTTATCTTTACTTCCTTAATTGTCTACAACAAACATGAATTCCTGGTATTAAGAATGAAAAAGAAATATACCACCAAACAATTTCTACTGTAAATTTTTTTATTATTTATATTTAGCTTTTCTTATTTAGCATTATTCTTCAAAGAATACAGATTACTTCCCAGAGACTTTTCTAGCTTAATGAGGGACCCTGGGAATATCAGTTCTAGATAGAGACAATATGCATAAAACACAAGATACATGTGAATTTTCCCTAGAATATACATACAGATCTAAAATCAGATAAGTCTGGAAGGCAAAGAGCAGCACAGAAGGATGTTTGTAAAGGAAGTCATTGATTCCCTGCAGTATGAGGTGACTAAGATATATCAGGTTGTAATAATACATCATGGGTCAGTCTTTGAGTGAGCTTGATTTCTAGGTGATATAATGCTCTGAACATAATTTTTAACATTCTTCAATTTTTTTTAAAAATAAATATTTATTTGGAATAATTTTAGGCGTCCAGAAAAGTTGCAAAGATAGATCCAGAGAGTTTTTATCCAGTTTTCCTGTATGTTTCCATCTTACATAACTATGGCACATTTGTGATTATCAAGAACTTAGTTATATTACTATCAACTAAGCTACAAACTTCATTTGCATTTCACCAGCTTTTCCACTAATGAACTTTTTCCATTCCAGAGTACAATCTGGGGACCAAATTACCTTTAGAACTCCAAATTTGATGAAAATTATGACCCGAGTTAGAGCTGTAAAGATCTCAGACCCAATAGATAGCAATTGAAAGCTGCAGTGAGGAAGAATAAATAGAAATAGCACAGACAAAAGCCTCAGAGAAACCCTGACTTCAAAGATGTAGCTACACTTACGTTTTACTTTAAGCAATATATATACACATACATACATATATGTGTGTGTGTGTGTGTGTGTGTGTGTGTGTGTTTCTGATGTCACTGTCAGGATATCTCAAATTTTCCTTTATTATTATGATCCAAGAAGGATTTTTTTTTTTTTAAATCAAATGATACTGAAAAATCTGTTGATTATGACATACTCTTGGACACAAGTAAAGAACAGTATTTCTGAGAGATTTAGCAGCAGCATCTTAATGCAAGTGTGTATATCATCTGGGATATAGTTATCTTCATACATAGTGGTACCTTATGTCATTCCAGGTTCTCCCTTTACCCTTGAATTTAGCCACATTAATTATTGCAGTGTTTCCTTCATTCATTCATTCACCCCAAATATACACTGAGAAACAGTTGTGTGTTAAGCACTGGGCCAAGCTGTATGGACTCAGTGGTCTTTTGGATGAACCCAGATAAGATAACCAGGTTTTACTGTATAGTGGATAGGTGCTAATACAGGCATTCATAAAGTGCTATAGAAAGAAGCTTAGATGACATGCAGGAGGCAGAGGAAACTCACGCAAAAGACATAGTGACATGTGGTACCAGGGTCTTTTAAGTTCCTTTCCACCTGCAGCAGATGCCCTGCTTGGGAGGCATGGCAGGAAATGCTGAGTGGGGGCTTAGAATGACAAAGGCCTTGGATGCTTGTCAAGGGGTCTGAATTCAAAGTGAAAAGGATGAGAAATCAGTGGTAATGTTTGTGTTTTGGAAAGATCAATATAGAGAATGGACTGCTAGAGGAAAACATATGAGGCAGCATAACCAGAAGGAGTTTTTGGGGTAGCATGGTTCAGGTAAGAAAACACAAAGACCCCCTTCCTCTTCTCTACTTGACCAAGACTTAGATTATCCTTTTAAGAGCAGGCTGAAATGCTGCTTGCTCTGAGAAGCCTTTTTTTTTTTTTCCACTCTTAGACACACCTAGTCATTTACTCCCATAACTCTTGATTCATAACTCGATTATAATATTTATCACAACGTGTTGTAAGGACTGTTTTTCATGTCTGTCTCCTACCACAGTGAGCTTCTCTAGGTCAGGGTTTGTGTCTTATTCATCTTGGCATCTTCAGCATTCAGGGCACTGCCTGCCTGGTACAGGGCGTCTGCTCAAATATTTGATGAGTGAGAAATGGAATGAATATTTGCCAGTCATGGATAGAATGTAGGAGAAACTTAACCTTTTCCCTGAAATCTTAACCATCACTATTAAATTAATTTTTGCAAAATTCCATGCACATTCATTTAGTTAGTTCAGTTGAGGAAACAAGGATGAGATTCAATGAAAGGAGGAATTGTAAGTCTTTAAATAATTGATACAGGTTAGAATTGCTTGGTCATGTTGTAGGTAATCCACATTTGTGGGTTAAAAAGAGAAATGCCTATGAATCAAACTGGTGTAGAATATATTTTAAAAACAACGTTGTGAGATGTCCTTCAAGTAAATGAACAGAAGCATATGAAAAAAATTATTTAGTTCTAAGGGTTTATCAGTGGGACTAAGCAAGATCCACGTTGCTGCTGAGTGCTGAATAATACTGTGGGAGAAGAACTTGGGTTATTTTATTTGGATCCCTGTTGCCTAGTTTGTAATTAGTCATTTGAACCAGAGGTCACAAAAGCAAATGCCTAAAAGGGCCTGACAAGTGGCAGAAATGAATAAAATGTAAGAGACTAAGATGTAAGAAACAGGAGCTTGCAGGAACTTGGGATCAGCTTCCCATAGCTCCTAATTTTTTGTGAGAAACCAAATATCTCAATTTAAATGGAAACTATATGTCTTTATTGACAGTAAGTAAAAATAATTGATAGGGTAAATCCTCTTCCAGCAATGATGGCCTAGTTTGTTTTGGATCACCCTTTCCACTAACAGCTAGAGAGGCTGAACTAAATATTTAAAAATATTAAAATCTGAAATTTTGGCAGAGCCAACAAGACAGTGAAGAATTATGGCGTCAAGAGCAAGAAGAAGATGGAAGTCCATGGAGGGAAGCCTGGTATGTAGGTTCACTTGTCTCCTAAAGGTGACTGCTGATTTTGAAAGCTGTGGCTTAAAGGATGGAAACTTAAAAGAGCTGGACAGACTGATGGAGCTGGGGGACAAAAACTGGGAGGTCAATGATTGTTACAGAGTAGGGATCATGGTAAATATCTCAGGCAGGCAATTTGGATCCAGAGGAGCTATACCTAAGGATAATACTGAATTGGAAGTATATCAATTCTAACAGGAACTGAAACTCAAGCTCAGATGATCTCCAATTGCTGATTGGATTAAGGTGTTTTGAGGTTACTTCCTGCCTCTAACATAGCTGCCTACCAAAAATGTGTGTATATTTTCTCTAGAGGAACAAAGCATCATACAGAGTCTTGTGGCAATTTTCACATGCAATATCTGGCAATAGAAAACAACCAGGCAGTCCAGGCATGGTGGTTCACACCTGTAATCCTAGCACTTTGGGAGGCCAAGGCAGGCAAATCACCTGATATCAGGAGTTCGAGACCAGCCTGGCCAATATGTTGAAACCCCATCTCTATTAAAAATACAAAAATTAGCCAGGCATGGTGGCACATGCCTGTAATTCCAGCTGCCCAGGAGGCTGAGGCAGGAGAATCACTTGAACCTAGAAGGCAGAGGTTGCAGTGAGCCAGAGACCCTGCCATTGCACTCCAGCCTGGGTGACAGAGTGAGACTCCATCTCAGAAAAGAAAGGAAAGAAAAGAAGGGAAAGAAAAGAAGGGAAAAGAGAAAAACAGAACCAGGCAAACAAGGAGATAAGATGTAACCAAAAAACAAAAGAAAAACAGACACCAGAGAAAAACTTACAGTGGGATCCAGATAATGGTGTTTTCAGATACAGACTTTAAAATGGCCACCACGGACATTTTAAGAAATTAAGAGTCGAGATGAAAACTTTCCACAATTATTATTGGAAACAATAATAATTAACCAAAAGAAATGTTGAAAATTGAAACACTATATGGGTCACAAATAACATATACAGAAAATCCGGTTTTGTGCATTGCTCTCAACATTCTGTGTGCAGATGTAGCATAATGGGACCAGAGAAATAAATTTCAGATTGACTTGGTTTGTATCATAGTATAGCATAAAGAATTTGGCATAAATAAGAAAACCTTTTTTTATGGATCACAAAAGATTACAAAGATTGAAGATACAAAAAAAAATTTGAAATAATTGATGAGGTTCAATTAGTTTCAACAATGGATTGGATTTTTGGTACCTCTTATTACTAGAAACCAATAAAAATTTCTAATCCCAAATCATTCTGGAAAACTTTTGACAGGGAAATTCTGGTAGTATAGCAGTATAGTAGGTTCCACAGTTTATAGAATCAAATAGATCTATATTTGACCTCTGGGTTTGCTTCTTACCAGGTAGGTGACCTTGGATCTGTTACTAAACTCTCTGACCTTCAGCATCCTCCTTTCTAAAAATATATGCATCATAATTGATTTGCTGAAGTTGTTAAGAAAGTTAAAAAAGGCACATAAAATTACAAGCATAGTAGGCTTTAGAGCAGGTAAGACAGTCAACCCATAGAGTTACTGGCAGGAAGAGAGGGTATCTACCCACTTTTCTTTCGTCTCTATATACACCCAGAGCTCTTCCTACCCGTTGCTTTCAGTTACATGTATTTCTTTGTTCTCTCTTCTTTTCTTCATTCCTTTCATTTATTTTATTTTGAGAGAGAAACACCAAATCTGTCTCATGTAATTAATTACCATCATCTGGACATGAGTACCTTTTAAAACATCACTGACTTACATTTATTCTGAGAGTACCAAAAAATGACCCTTTTACCTTTCTCAATATGCCAATAATAAACTATCAGTATGGGTTGTCTGTTCAAGCTAAAAATCAATTTGATTTTTACTTAATTGCCAAGGAGAGAGGGTTACAGCTTTATATTTGTGTGGCTGATAGTCACCCTTGTGATAAGCAAGGCAGCTTAACAGAGTCCCGAGTTGTCAGCAAGACCCCCAACTGATTCAGTCGGTGTGGAGAATCTGGGCAGAGAAAAGCTTTCAAATTCATGATCTTAACCTTTATTTTTTGGCCATCTTTCCTTTCTGTAACATCTTCTTTTAAGTATAAAATTTCTACTATACCTTACCATACTGAAAGACAAATATCATGAAATAGGCAAAGTTTAAAAATACAATGTCTATATTACAAATTATTTCGAAGTAATCCCTCATGGAAAAATGCTATTTAATCAGTATCATTTGTCAAGGGACTTTTACTAGACTAAAAAAAAAATCAGAGAACAATTTTATATCAAACATATATGAGCACTTTCAATTTTCAGTCTATGTACTTCAACTATTAGTACTTAGGAGAGTTTTAATATGTTTGCTTCCTTTTATATGGAGAAGAAATCAAACCTTTGCTCTTTACTTAAAGCTACTAGACATTATGTATCTGATCTCTATTTGTGTATTTTCTTCCCTGATTTTAATATCTTGTTTTTATAAGAATGGTTTTCCTTCAGGCTAACATCAGAAAAAATAGTAGCATTCTTTTTTTTTTTGAGATGGGAGTCTTGATGTGTTGCCCAGGCTGGAGTGCAGTGGCATGATCTTGGCTCACTGCAAACTTCGCCTCCTGGGTTCAAGTGATTTCCTGCCTCAGCCTCCTAAATATCTGGGATTACAGGTATGCACCACCACACCCAGCTAATTTTTGTATTTTTAGTAGAGACAGGGTTTCACCATGTTGGTCAGGCTGGTCTTGAACCCCTAACCTCATGTTCCGCCCACCTCAGCCTCCCAAAGTGCTGGGATTATAGGCGTGAGCCACTGTGCCAGCAAAATCGTAGTATTTTTAAAGAATGGAGTCTTGTATTACTTTCTGCACAAAGATCATGGCTTTTCTTATAACATTCTTTCCAAATGTCAGGATAAACTCTGTTGAACTGGATATCCCTACAAAATTTTTAATCAACTTAAGTACACAAAATATATTTTGTAGTTTTATTTATCATCAGAAGAAAAACACTGTCTTTATTGCCTCTTGCTTCTTCCTTACTGAAAATGAATTTTAATTCAATAACCATGCACTGACCACTTGTTAAAACCAGGTACTGTGCACCGGCCATGAAGAATGTCAGCATGAATCAATCTCTATACTGCAAAAGTTCATGAGTTCAGGTCCCCTGGGTGCTTCCAGTGTCCTGAGGATTTTGGAGAACACATCCTCACAGGTTAGTTTGTGTTTGTCTCCTTCTCCTTCTTTTTAAATAAACCTTATCTTTTAGAACTGTTTTAGATCTACAGAGACAATCGGAAAGACAGATACATTGGATATACCTCCACACCCATTTTCTCATATTATTAACATCTTACCTTATTATGGTATATATAATTTTAATTAATGAACCAATACTGATGCATTATTATTAACTAAACTCTTTACTTTATTCAGATTTCTTTAGTTTTCCCCCCATGTTCTTTTTCTTTTCCAGGATCCCATTTAGAGTACCACATTGCCATTAGCCCTCATGTCACCTTAAGATTCCTCTTGACTGTGACAGTTTCTCACACTCTGCTTGTGTTCGATTATTTTGATAATTTTGAGGATTCATTTATTTTTGCTTGGATAAAAAAGAACTTGATCATAGGCCAAGAATCACCTCCTATCATTAATTGTCTACATGAGGCAGAATCGACGCTTAACTGCATAGACCTCTGAGGAGGGCTGCGAACTGATCACTGTGACTCCAACAGTGGCCTTCATTGTGGCTCTTCTCCAAACCCACTCACCTGGCACCTCCAGGCAGCTGCTATATTTTCAGACCACTTTCCTGTCTCTGAGTTCTGATGTTTGGCATCTCCAAATCTTTTCCAGTCCACCTCAGTCTCAACAGCTTCCAAATATTTCTCTATACCAAAAGCCCTAATTGCTTTTTTTCACTAGCATTGCAGTCCACATTTTTATCAAGCAGAAATCTTGCACCTCCTTACTCAAGGGCAGAGAGAGCTCGGTCTTCACAAACCACCATCATGGGCTTCGGGTCTCTGATTCCCGGAGAGGAAGGGAGTTGTTGTTTGCATTCTGACCTTCTTCTAGAACTCCTAACAATTCCTAATGCAGCAAAGAAAAGACAAAACAATTGAGTTGACATTTCAAAATAGATTGAATATTCATATTCTCCTAGACAAAATCACAAGAGAAGAGTTAGTTACTAAGGTGTGTAAAAAATGCTAAAGTAGCACAGAGGAGGGAAAGCTAAATCTGTTGCTCTGGAAAGAAAGATGGGAAAGAAGGGGACCAGCAAAAGTATAAGGCTTCTTAGAGGTAATACCTGTACTGAGTCTTCAGCGTGTGTGGTGGGCAGTGCCAGCATCCCAGGTAGAAGTAACAGCTTCAGTAAAGACACAGGGGTATGAAATAACATCACATATTTGAGTAAGTACCAGAACTCTGAACTGGTGCAGAGTAAAGGGACTATGAGAGAATCAGACTGGGAAGTGCCTTTTATGTCACCCCAAGGTCTAAGAATGCTGTTCAATGCTGTGAAGTTAGATCACCTTGCTGGCAGAGCAGTAGGGTTTAATATCTAGATGGAAAAGGGGTAGGATACGGTGGTCTGAAGTTAATGCACTCAGGGAAGAGATCTATCATCCCAAATAGGGGCCATGTAAATGGACTGGTTAAAGAACATATTTAAATTTTGATTGAAAATAAATTAAAATATTCTGACTTTGCTGAGTTGGTGGGTTGACAAAGAATTGGCAATGCAAGATTTAAGACTAGTTTATATGAGACCTTAAAACTGGCGGCCTGGACCAAGACACTCTTTGGTCAAAGAGGTCCAGGAGGCTATTTGCCCTCTAGTGGCAACCACAAAGCATTTTCTATTTGCTAGAAACTGGACTAAAATAGACAGTGCAGAAAAAAATCGTCCCAGGAAGCCAGTGACCACTATGCTTCATGAAGCTGTTTTAATTCGTATCTAGACTTGGATATCCAGCTTAATACACAAGCCTAATAGAACCTAGTTAAGATAGAAAAAAATGCTGTTTAATAATAAAAATCAATCATGCATACCAATCTCTTATTGGAATTACTTAACACAACTTTTCAATACCATCTTTAACAGGATATGATGGGAATGTAGCATATTATTAGAAATAACACCTTAGATTTTTAAGTGTAGTGATTTATTTTAAATGTATAACATAGATATTTAGAGGATCAGAGATCAGTTTTCCTACATCTCCATGAATCTATTTTAGATTCCCCGATCTGTTCACTTAGATTTTACACTTGCCATCTATACAATTTTGGTCCCCAAGTTAGCATGATAGAATTTCCAGTTCAATTCTTTCATGTTATTTTCTTTTTTTCCACATAAGTGGTTTATATCTTATTGAGGAGCCTTTGGTATCAGTTTTCAATCTCTCAAATGTACAGTCTTTTGAGAAGT